TTACCATTCAATATTCTCCAACATACTACACGCCACTACAATACCTTTCCATATTCTCCAACATCCTTCAATACCTTTCCATGTTCTCAAACATACTACACGCTACTACAATGCCATTCCATATTCTCCAACATACAACAATACCATTCCATATTCTCCAACATACTACACGCTACTACAATGCCATTCCATATTCTCCAACATACAACAATACCATTCCATATTCTCCAACATACTACACGCTACTACAATGCCATTCCATATTCTCCAACATACAACAATACCATTCCATATTTTCCAACATACAACAATGCCATTCCATATTCTCCAACAGACAACAACACCTTTCCATATTCTCCAACATACTACACGCTTCTATATTACCATTCAATATTCTCCAACATACTACACGCTTCTATATTACCTTTCCATATTCTCCAACATCCTTCAATGCCATTCCATATTCTCCAACATACATCAATACCATTCCATATTCTCCAACATCCTTCAATGCCATTCCATATTCTCCAACATTCAACAATACCATTGCATATTCTCCAACATACAATACCATTCCATATTCTCCAACATACAACAATACCTTTCCATATTCTCCAACAGACAACAATACCTTTCCATATTCTCCAACATACTACACGCTTCTATATTACCTTTCCATATTCTCCAACATCCTTCAATACCTTTCCATATTCTCCCACAAATTATACTACCATTCCATATTCTCCAACGTACTGTAATATCATTCCATAATTTTCAAACATCAAAAACCATGATTATACTAATGTCTATATAATACCATCTACTAACTGTTCCACTTTGAAATAGGCCTCTCTGCAATATTAATATTAATTTGTAAACCTACAGATCCTAAATCCATAATTTTTACGTGTCTAGATGGTCCTTTTTTATTGTTCTGTCACAAATAATATTAATACTTTGGTCTTATAAGGCGTGTACCAGCTGTGCACATATAATCTGACAATTGCTACACGGTAGACCAGGAAAAGCTCTCGTTTTAATGTTGACTTCTGTTACCACTGTTGATAAGGTATGCATGTAAGGACTCTGCAAATTCGTTCACGAGATTGTGCTTATCACTTTAAATAGGACACAAAATAAGTACCTTTTTAAAAAAATAGAGCCACATGGCTCTGTAGCTCACCTGAATTATGAAGTAATAATCTGATAACACTTCAACCTTATTTTGCTTCAAATATCTTTTTAGCTACAATGGGAAGAATTATTATTAAACCGCCCGCGTGTTATTAAGAATTGACTTTCACTTTGTGTGAGTTCATTGGCGTATGAACCTTTATGAGGTGAGGGCCAAGCTGTATGAACGTCGGAACTTGTGTTCTAAAGGTGCTCCTAAATGTGTCATGTGAGTACTCAGAAACAATCAGAGGAGCGCCTTTAGAATACAGGGATATAAATAGTCTATGTTATGGTCTCTGGTCTGACTATTTAAACCAGACACTGCTGGTCATGACCACCAAGGTTTTTTTGTGTAAATATTTGATAAACGTCTTTACCATCATTGTTACCTGATTTCTATGTAGGGTTGGTTGTTGGTTGGTTTGTTGTTTAACGCCGCACTCAGCAATATTACAGCTATATGACGGCGGTCTGTAAATAATCGAGTCTGGACCAGACAGTCCAGTGATTAATATCATGAGCATCGATCCACGCAATTGGGATCGATGACATGCATCAACCAAGTCAGCGAGCCTGACCACCCGATCCCGTTAGTCGCCTTTTACGACAAGCATAGTCGCCTTTTACGGCAAGCATGGGTTGCTGAAGACTTATTCTACCCCGGATCTTCACGGGGCTAAGCTTTATGAGTTCAGATGTATCATTGTATAATAATGCATATGCACGCGGTTACAATTAGCAATCCTCGTTATTTGAATCGGCCAGATATTTTTTAGTAATGTATTGTGTATTGTTCTAATACCTAACACTAATACAATATTTTCTTCTTCATTAACGGTACAAAAAAAACCAGAGATGCGATGATGATATCCCTAAAATATGTGCAGTCTGGATCAATTAGAATTGAACTAAAGGGTTTGGCAATGCCACTATGATCTTATATAAATTGATCTACCGTAAAAAAACCCATTTAATCGACTTAGAATTAATATAAGTTTGTAACTAGCACTTAGGACAAACACTGGATCCATTTTTATTATATTAAAAAGTGCAGAACATTGAGGACATATTTTAATTATCTCAAGAAGTTCGAAAGACAGCTGTTGAGATGGGGGCGTGTGGATTTACTTGAGAACACAGCCTGGAAATACGGAATCTGGCGAGGGAGACTTGTCGCCAGTCTATGTAACCCAAGTCTCCCCTGGGTTGACGACTGGCACTTATTGGTGGCTCCCGGCACACGGCACATAGGAGCCTTCCCTTACTCCCTGACGGGACAACACACAGAATTAGCTTCCAACACACACGCATTGAATGACAGCAGTTATCATTATTTACCTGCATAAATCTTACTTCGCGAACCGCCCACATACTGCCTGACGTCATGTATACATGGTTATGTATATCGACAACGTCATGAGTCATTTGACTATTTCAGACTCAGAGAACGCGTACTCTATTGCTTTCCATTGTGTTATTAAGTTCTTTCCTCGCCGACAACGGGCACTAGTTAATGAAGCATAACAATATACGTTGTGACAGTGTAAAAGATGACTCCACTGCCTGTGGGAGATTTTGGTATTGACGAAGAAGTGTGTCTAATTAGATAATCACTTATTGCCAGTTTGAGACAAATATCCAAACTGTGAGCGGAAATACAGTTTAAATGGTCAGTGCCTCTATTGACGGAGACGGGTCAGCTCTTAATCGGACTCTTTTAATTTGAATAAAAAATGTGTATGTTGAATATTTTGTTTAACATGAGCCTGACCCCGTTCTACAAAGCGATCTTAACACTACGACTACCGTAATTCCAATACCTCTACATACAACCATACGACAGCTTCGTGACCAACTCGTCCCATTACGGGACAACCCTTGTTGCAGGTTACGAAAACATGCGAGTGGTGACGAATGTTACGACAGTAGCCTTAATACAGTTTTGATCGCTTTGTGGAACAGAGGCTCTTCGAGACCCTCAAACTACCGACATCCCTCCCCATAGTAGAACAAAGCAAACTTAGATTTTCTGTATGTCTTTTTTATCCAGCAGACTAGAATATGATGGTTGTGGTGAAATGTTTTGGTGGCAGATACTGTTTTGGGGTCAAAATGCACAGTTATGTTGTAAAAATAGAGACCATCAAATATAGTCCGCTATACAGGTAGTGAGTTTATCATTTATGTGACAGCTTACACAAGGTAGACTTGAGTTATAAATACTTTTTTAAATTATAGCCTCGCACAAATTTGGTTATAAGTAAAAATAAGCCAAACAAATGGTAAATTTGTCTCTGTTTTCATTTTCCAATGATTTAATATCCCAGAATGAGCCCCCAAGTCTTATGATGAAATGGCAGTATTCATATATTAAATACTTTGGTACAATGTTATCCCATCCCCCATTTTGTCGAAATATGCCTTTTTTAATTCCCATTGTTAATTCGTTTAATAATAGCTTTATACAACACATACCTATTGCCGTTTGCAAATACCATTTCTATATAGGATATTATAAAAGGTTCGCTTAAAATCAATGATTTTTTGAAACCACCGAAGAGGTAAATTTTGAAGGTCAAGTTCTAACTTAATACATGCATGTAAACAGTATAAAAATGCTACAAATGCACATACAATTATTATTACTGGTTCTGGTTCTGGGTATGCTATAAAATGTACGAAGTTCTATCTGTGTTTTGCCTTTTACGCGTAAACACATGAACAGAATCAATCACTTATGTATAATACCATTCGGTATTACATTAACTTAATAATGATTTCTCTCAACTTCAAATCTAGTATATTCTCTAACATTTAAAATGTTTTGTTCTGTTGTTATCTGATGCAATGTTGAATGTTTCAAGCTCGACTCGTGTCTATAACATATCATGTTACCATATTTATAGACCGTAAACATGTGTTTGGGTATAAAACATATTGATCTCTAAACGTGCAGATGACGGATGTCTTAAAAAGGAAAGTCTTTATTGTGTTTTAATTCAACAGCTTAATGACATGTAACACATGTCTATGGAATACTGTAAGGGACATTCTCGCGATCTCGCATTCTCGCGATCTCGACCTTTGGAAACGAGGTAAATATGCCAAAAAAACACGAGAATGCGAGATTGCGAGAACGCGAGATTTGGCCAAATTCTCGCGTTCTCGCGATCTCGCATTCTCGTGTTTTTGGTACATAGCACTTTTTGTCAAAAAGTCGACAACGCGAGAATGCGACATTTGGACATGATGCAAAATCTCGCGTTCTCGCGATCTCGCATTCTCGTGTTTTGGGCATATTTACCTCGTTTCCAAAGGTCGATATCGCGAGAATGTCCCTTACAGTATTCCATACATGTCAGTTATCGGTGTCATTCATTAGTTATCATTCATCCCGTTATGGTATATGAGAAGTAGAGTCAACAGGAGGGACATAGAAGGGACATAACTCGTAATAGCCACTGGTGGTGCTACGATCGAACTCGAAATTCCAGCCTAGTTCGGCAAAGGTGGAAACTTGATTTTTACAGTCAGTTAACTCCCTTGCCTCGGGAAGATGGGTTATCTGAATATTTCATCACTTTGCTTTGATAAATACAGCAGCAGGCAAGAGTCGAGCAAGATTGTAGAAATATTTGAACGGACATGTTTAAGCTATTGCTTGGTGTTACCTGTACCACAAAGCTTACTTTACACTAAGTCCCATACTTTCTCATAAACGTGCGATGATCGTAGCACTAAACAGCTTTGCTGGACATAGCCCTGGTATACATGTACCCATCATGCTGTATATCACTGACTTTGTGCCGTGTTGTTCTAATCAGATGTGGAATACGTGGTATCCGCACCCCACAAGTGGGTGAACCCGGACAACTGGTGCCCCACGGGCACAGAGAATGGAGCATGCTCCCCCATGCCACTGCTAGACTCGGAGAGGGTACCCTGCGCCACAGACGACACCGTCTTCCCCCGGGACGAGGCCTTCTTCGTCGACCTTGACACTGGTCTCGACATCAACGTCAAGTCGCTCAAACTGTCAGGCAAGGTGTGCACATGCGTAAACATAAACGGTTGTGGTGGCGTGACTGATTGAGTGTTTAAGTTGGGTCACAGGACTTTTAACGCCTGACTTTCGGCCTCGAAAGGTGGTTTGGACGATGCATGTATAGAATGTCTCTAAGACGTCTTGTGTTTGTGTTCACGTTGTTTGTGACGGTATTTCAGTTATACGGCGCGTCAACTTAATGTGGAAGGTGAGCCTAAAGTGTAGGTCTTAGACGTAAGGGGCACGGGTGGCCCAGTCGTCTAAGGCGCCGCGATTCGCTGTTCAGAGTTGCGTCCCTTGGGCAGGCCAGAAACCGATGATTGTGGGTTCGATTCCCGATTATGTTTCTAGGTTTGTCGGCACCATACCCGTGCTGGTGGGTTTCGCCGAAGGGGTAAACGTCTGAGACCTGCATCACTTCGGCTTTCCTCCCACATTAAGCTGACACGTCGTGTTAAAAAAGAGGCGTTATACCCAACTCACTCACTCACTCTTAGACGTTAACCACTTTGATGAAACCCACGATTAGCAGTACAGTCCAATTGTCATAAACGATGCGAGTTTCGAGTATGTGTAGATCTTCTGAAATGTTTTTGCATTTACATAAATTGTCATAGGGTTTACGCCATTTTAGCTAAATTCCAGCCATATCACGATGGGGGAAATGGGCTTCACAGAACATACCCATGTGGGAAGTTGACTGTGGTCGTCAGCGTCACAAGCAAACGCTCTAACCACTGGGTTACCCCTCCGCCTCCATGGCCCGGGTTCGATTCCCGACATGGGTACTGTGTGTGAAGCCCATTTCTGGTGTCTCCCGTCGTGATATTGCTGAAATATTGCTAAAAGCGGCGTAAAACCATACTCACTCAATTCCATAGCTAGTGTTGGTGTAGTAATGCGTCAAGTTGGATGTTTCACGTGACGTAAGAACCCAGCATGGCGATGCGTTGTTGTTTAACGCCGAAATCATCAGTATTTCAGCTATATGATGGCGGCCTGTAAATAATCAGGGCTGGACCAGATAATATAGTGACTGACATTGTATTGGCCTACTCCCTACTTCATTGCTGTTCCCGGTAATATGCTATATAAGTGCAATAATCTTGGATGCGACGTTAAACCCCATTTCACCTCACATCATTTCCAGGTGTTCTGTAGTTAGCGGAGAGGCCGAGTGGTCTGGACCCGCGTGATAATTTAAAGTCATCATACCTTTAGAGTCTTATCTACTACAGTAAACTACGGTTATAACGAACTCAAAGGGGTCTCTACTTTTAATTCGTTATAACCGTAGTTCGTTATAAGCATATATACAGCATATATACTGCAAATGGATGGGGCCCCAAAACTGTTCGTTATATCCGTCAGTTCGTTATAAGGGTGTTCGTTATAAACGTATTTTACTGTAGTTCTTTTTCTCGCATTGCAGTCGTTTACCACCACGACCTTCATCAACTATATACAGTCTCCAGACGGTCAGAGAATTTTCCCGCCACCCAAAGGCACGGGAGTCACGCGATCGAGTGTCACAGTCTCCAGACAGAATTGTAACGACCCCACAGGCTGCACGTGCGGCAACGACCAAGGGCAGGTGAGATAAGACATCTACAGACTGTAGTCTTGAACCCCTCGGGGAAGGGGTGTGTTATGTGACATATCCTTGGGTTTTAGTCTTATTGAAACCATCGGGAAAAGGATGAGTAAAGTCAAATTGAGACATATGGGGAATGACAATGGGCAAATCTTGTCATAAGGGGAATGGCAATGGGCACATCTTGTCATATGATGAATGGCAATGGGCATATCTTGTCATAAGGGGAATGGCAATGGACATATCTTGTCATAAGGGGAATGTCAATGGACATATCTTGTCATAAGGGGAAAGGCATTGGGCATATCTTGTCATAAGGGGAATGGAATGGGCATATCTTGTAATATGAGGAATGACAATGGGCATATCTTGTCATAAGGGGAATGACAATTGGCATATCTTGTCATAAGGGGAATGACAATGGGCACATCTTGTCATAAGGGGAATGGCAATGGGCATATCTTGTCATAAGGGGAAAGACAATGGGCATATCTTGTCATAAGGGGAAAGACAATGGGCATATCTTGTCATAAGGGGAATGACAATGGGCACATCTTGTCATATGAGGAATGGCAATGGGCATATCTTGTCATAAGGGGAATGGCAATGGGCATATCTTGTCATATGGGGAATGACAATGGGCACATCTTGTCATATGGGGAATGACAATGGTCACATCTTGTCATATGGGGAGTGACAATAGGCACATCTTGTCATATGGGGAGTGACAATAGGCACATCTTGTCATATGGGGAATGATAATGGGCATATCTTGTCATATGGGGAATGACAATGGTCACATCTTGTCATATGGGGAGTGACAATAGGCACATCTTGTCATATGGGGAATGACAATGGGCATATCTTGTCATATGGGGAATGACAATGGGCATATCTTGTCAGTATCATTACTATATGATTGTGATTCAACAACACCTGTTGATGATATAGTCGGAAGCGTACAATCGACTCTGCTTTATACAGATTTCTATAAGATATGGAAAGAAATTTGTCGCTTTATTGTCACGAGGAGACAATGCCAATGGTGTGTCCAGTCATAAGGCGACACTGTCAATGATGTGTCTAGTCATAAGGCGACAATGCCAATGGCGTGTCTAGTCATAGGGCGACAATGCCAATGGTGTGTCCAGTCATAAGGAGACATTGCCAATGATGTGTCTAGTCATAAGGAGACAATGCCAATGATGTGTTTAGTCATAAGGAGACAATGCCAGTGATGTGTCTAGTCATAAGGAGACAATGCCAGTGGTGTGTCTAGTCATAAGGAGACAATGCCAATGGTGTGTCCAGTCATAAGGAAATAATGCCAATGGTGTGTCTAGTCTTAAGGAGACAATGCCAGTGGTGTGTCTAGTCATAAGGAGACAATGCCAATGGTGTGTCTAGTCATAAGGAGACAATGCCAATGGTGTGTCCGGTCATAAGGAGACAACGCCAATGATGTGTCTAGTCATAAGGAGACAATGCCAGTGGTGTGTCTAGTCATAAGGAGACAATGCCAATGGTGTGTCTAGTCATAAGGAGACAATGCCAGTGGTGTGTCTAGTCATAAGGAAATAATGCCAATGGTGTGTCCAGTCTTAAGGAGACAATGCCAATGGTGTGTCTAGTCATAAGGAGACAATGCCAAGGTTGTGTCTAGTCATAAGGAGACAATGCCAAGGTTGTGTCTAGTCATAAGGTGACAATGCCAATGGTGTGTCTAGTCATATGGAGACAATGCCAATGGTGTGTCTAGTCATAACGTGACAATGCCAATGGTGGGTCTAGTCATATTGAGACAATGCCAATGGTGTGTCTAGTCATAAGGAGACAATGCCAATGGTGGGTCTAGTCATAAGTCGACAATGACAATGGTGTGTCTAGTAGTCAAAAGGCGACAATGCCAATGGTGTGTCTAGTCATAAGGAGACAATGCCAAGGTTGTGTCTAGTCATAAGGACACAATGCCAAGGTTGTGTCTAGTCATAAGGTGACAATGCCAATGGTGTGTCTAGTCATATGGAGACAATGTCAATGGTTTGTCTGGTCATAAGGAGACAATGCCAATGGTGTGTCTCGTCATAAGGCGACAATGCCAATGGTGTGTCTCGTCATAAGGCGACAATGCCAATGGTGTGTCTCGTCATAAGGCGACAATGCCAATTGTGTGTCTAGTCATTAGGCGACAATGCCAATGGTGTGTCTAGTAGTCAAAAGGCGACAATGCCAATGGTGTGTCTAGTCATTAGGCGACAATGCAAATGGTGTGTCTAGTCATAAGGAGACAATGCCAATGGTGTGTCTAGTCATTAGGCGACAATGCCAATGGTGTCTCTCGTCATAAGGCGACAATGCCAATGGTGTGTCTAGTAATAAGGCGACAGTGTCAATGGCGTGTCTAGTAGTCAAAAGGCGACAATGCCAATGGTGTGTCTAGTCATAAGGCGACAATGCCAATGGTGTGTCTAGTCATAAGGCGACAATGACAATGGTGTCTCTAGTCATAAGGAGACGATGCCAATGGTGTGTCTAGTCATAAGGCGACACTGCCAATGATGTGTCTAGTCATAAGGCGACACTGTCAATGGTGTGTCTAGTCATAAGGCGACAATGCCAATGGTGTGTCTAGTCATAAGGCGACAATGCCAATGGTGTGTCTAGTCATAAGGCGACACTGCCAATGATGTGTCTAGTCAAAAGGCGACACTGCCAATGATGTGTCTAGTCATAAGGCGACAATGCCAATGGTGTGTCTAGTCATAAAGCGACAATGACAATGGGTATGTCTAGTCATTAGGCGACAATGCCAATGGTGTGTCTAGTCATAAGGCGACAATGCCAATGGTGTGTCTAGTCATAAGGCGACAATGCCAATGGTGTGTCTAGTCATAAGGCGACAATGCTAATGATGTGTCTTGACATTAGGCGACAATGCCAAAAGGTGTGTATTGTCATTTTTCTCATTTCATTACATGCAAATGGTGTCTGTTTCAGATCTTCAAGAAGATTTGTTCCGTGTTTACACCGAAATGCCCGCGAGCTCAATGTCGGATCCCGTTTCGACCTATGGGCTCCTGCTGTGACGTTTGTGGTGAGTTAGTTCCGCCAATGGTTCCTTTAATACTTCCTGACCATATTAGGAAATACATGTATTGCACGTGCCGTGTTAAGAGCGGTCTCAAGAACTGTCATGCTAATCCTGTCATTGTTATTGCAATTACACTGCTAGTATAGTATTTTGATCTGATTACATACTGTCATGAAAATACATTTCTTATGCAGGCGCCATGTTCAATGGCACGGTTGGAACTGGGTTCAGTATTGCGACTTTCAAGACCATCTTACAGGGATTCGTATCTGCACAGGTTGGTTCCGATGATCCTGGTATTCTGATACTAATGTAGGCAGATACGTGAACGAGGGTCGTGGGGTTCTGCAGTATGTTTGTCAGGCCTTGAACCCAACCAGGCAGGAGTGAGTGAGTGAGTATGGTTTTACGCCGCTTTAAGCAATATTCCAGCAATATCACGCTTAAACAACTAGGCTACCTGACCGCCCCCAACCAGGCAGGAACAGACAGCAAGATTATCCACTCACCCTCGCCTCAGTGTAAAGCAACACACTGGATCAGACAGGCTGTGAGTTGCTGTACACACTGGATCGGACAGGCTGTGAGTTGCTGTACACACTGGATCGGACAGGCTGTGAGTTGCTGTACACACTGGATCGGACAGGCTGTGAGTTGCTGTATACACTGGATCGGACAGGCTGTGAGTTGCTGTACACACTGGATCAGACAGGCTGTGAGTTGCTGTACACACTGGATCAGACAGGCTGTGAGTTGCTGTCACCTCTGTAAGCCACCAGAGTTCATTCATATCCCATTGTGGCCAGTTATACCCAAGTGGTCAGGCACTGGGACACTTTCTATGTAGGCCACTTTCTACCTGGGGTAGTCTTGAGGTTAAAGCGTTCGCTCGTCACGCTGAGGACAGGTACAATGTGTGAAGCCCATTTCTGGTGCCCCACGCCGTGATATTGCTGAAATATTGCCAAAAGAGGTGTAAAACTATACTCGCTCGCTATTTCAGTCCAGGGAAGGGTTGGTCGGACTGATATCGATATACAGTAGACGTGATGGTGTATGATTATTGGTTTTCAATAACCCTTAACGATGTTGTTCTTGTATCCACAAGGAAAGCAATATTTCAGTTTGCTTAATGTTCTAGACTATTCGATGGTGAAAGACATAGTGCAACCATTGTATGTTACAGAATGGTAACGCAACGGTGAAGCTGATCGTGTCGAAGACGGGGATGGGCTTTATACAGGCAGTTCTCACTGGTGATAACGGAGACATCAGCATCCCGGTCGCACAAACCATCAAGTCGGACATGGACGCGGGTAGGTCTGGCAGGGACCCCATTTCGGCTGTCGTTAATGTACGTGTTAATGTATTGGAGATAGATAGCCTCAGCGCAACGGTCGCTTTGTGAAACTGGGCCCTGGACATTGCCGGATGTAGTGTAGATGTATTTACGCCCGTAGTACATGACCTTGACCTTGACCCACCAAAACGCTATTAATGACCATCCAGTATGGCGCCAACCTCGCTGGCATTTCGGGAAATCATGACATACTCATTTTGTCGTTGCTTGTAACTGTGTCTCCCTTAATTAAGGGAATAAACTAATAACTGCGGCTCCCTTATATTAATGTCGCAATTCAGATTATGTCCGTTATGATGACAATGTCAGGTCATGCAACATAATGGGCGGTGGGGCAGCCTTGTGTTTATAGCGCTCGCTCGTCACGACAAAAGCCCGGTTCGATTAGGCCCGTTAAGCTCCGGGGTAGAATAGGTCTTCAGTAGCCCATGCTTGCCGTAAAAGGCGACTGTGCTTGTCGTAAAAGGCGACTAACGGGATAGGGTGGCCAGGCTCGCTGACTTGGTTGATACATGTCATCGATCCCAATTGCGTGGATCGATGCTTATGATGTCAATCACTGGACTGTCTGGTCCAGACTCGATTATTTACAGATCGCCGTCATATAGCTGGAATATTGCTGAGTGCGGCGTTAAACAACAAACAAACAAAAACGGTTCGATTCCTTACATGGGTACAATGTGGGAAGCCCATTTCTGGTGTTCCCCGCCGTGCTATTGCTGCGATATTGCTAAAAGCGTCGTAAAATCATACTCAATCAGTCACCACAGTGGTAAAAGTCCTTGAGTGCTGTTGAGCATGACGTTAAACCAACACACACAACTTGTCCCCCCAGATGCCCGGACAGGGGGCCACAAGTACCGCCTGGACGGCATCCAGCTGATGGAGTCCTCGGGAGCAATACATCCCACGTCTGGCCCGGGTGCTCATACAGGTAATACGGATCATGACAAGGTTCTCTCTCAATAAATACAGACAACTGTTGACCTCTCGCAATAGGTCAGTTTTTGCGTGTTTCCCAAGTCATGCGGAGAGGCGAAGATCTGGGGTAGAATAGGTCTTCAGCAACCCATGCTTGCCGTAAAAGGCGACTAACGGGATAGGGTGGTCAGGCTCGCTGACTTGGTTGATGCATGCCATCGTATCCCAATTGCGTGGATCGATGCTCATGATGTCAATCACTGGATTATCTGGTTCAGACGCGATTATTTACATCCCGCCGCCATAAAGCTGGAATATTACTGAGTGCGGCGTTAAACAACAAACAAACCAAAAACCAAGTCCTCCACAAAATAAGAAATCGAAGTTTTCATATTCACCCATTCGACCGTTTGAGCAAATATCACTTCACAGTAGAAACATATAACGCATTTCCCGGTTTTTTTAAAAAGAAAAACAATGCTGTAGGTTATTGTAAAGATATTCAGGAAGTAACTCCATTTATGTGTGCCTTTGCGGGTATTTTTATTCGTCTTTTTAAGTCCTCCAATCTTTCCAAATCCCTGATCGATATAGCAACCGTTGCTCTTCGAATTTAGCTCAATTACGATTGTGGACCAGTTTTTCACATATCCTATTCAGCTGCAAACTCGAACAATTGTATTCTCAACCAAAGTCTACTTTATTTTCCCTCTGAAGTTGACCAACGAGATGAGATAAGATAAATATATATTTATATAATATGAATGGCCTAACTTTCGAAATATTTGTTATTGGTCATTGTAGCTCCTTCTTTGATAAGGGTCTTGATTTCACGTGTTGGTCGTAGTTTGAAGTTGACTGAAATCTTAAAGACTTTGTATTGTGCTACCAGGCGGGCAACTGGGCGGAGGGTCGATCGCAGGGATCATCATCGCCCTTATCGTGCTGACGGTCCTCGTGTTGTTTGGGCTGCTGTTCTTTAGAAAGAAAACCGGGTAAGATGAATGCATCTTGATATAATATATTGTTTAGTTCAAAGGGAAATTGCTAAGCTGTAACCATCAGATCTGTAATCAAGTTTGTTTCACCTCAAGGTAGTTATCGAGTGCTTATCCCAAGCACTGCTTAAACCCAAAACGAGGCTAACATTATCCCTCAATTTGGCGTTATTGACTTTTTAAATAGTTTGACACTGGGTCGTGTGAAGAAGGGGGATTATCCTGTGACGTATATCGGCAGAGACAGAGAGTTTGGAGAACCTGTATATCATATAATATAAATAATAAATTGACCCGTTTCAGTTTCAATCACTGGATTCCTGGTTAGGACTCGATTGTTTACAAACCGTCATGGTGTGGCTGGAATATTAATTGCAGACTGTTGCTTAAACAACATTCACTCACTGATACATGACTTTTGCTTTCAGGAAGTCTAATAACATGTTGGACGATATGCTCGACATCCCCAACAAAGTGAGACGTACCTTGCCACGTGGTCGGCGCGTGCCAGGTGACGTCAGCAGTCCCCGCTATGAGATAGAGATGACCGATCCTGGCTTTGGGAACCCGCTGTATGGAGATATCGGGGGCGTGGTAGGTACCTAGTAGTGACCATGAGATATCCCGATGGTATTAATTCCGTTTCCAGTTTGTAAACTCGAGTTTACTGAACTAAGGGGCAATTGAAAGAAAACATGAAACAAGCTAGCATTTGACCGAATTTTAAAAATAAAAATGACAAACGTTATCAAAACGGTTTAAAACAGTCGCCGAAACTCTACAAGGTCCAAAACACAACTGTGATACCCGTATCAAATATATCACCATCGAATAACAAAATGGGTGAGATAGGTGTATCTCGCGTGGTAGGTGAGATAGGTGGTTCACGTAGCTTCTCGTGTGCTGTGGGTGAGATAAGTGGGTCTCGTGTGGTAGGTGAGATAGGTGGTTCACGCGGCTTGTCATGTGCGGTGGGTGAGATAAGTGGGTCTAAAGGCTTCTAAAGTGCGGTGAGTCAGATAGTATGAATCTCGTGCGCGGTGGGTGAGCTGGGTTGGTCTCGTGGCTTGTCATGTGCGGTTGGTGAGATGCGGTTCTTATCATGTGCGGTGGGTGAGACAGGGGCCCCGTGGCTTATCATGTGCGGCTGAGATCGGTGGTTCTTCTTGATCTAGAGACGATAGGTTACAGAGATGATGATTTGTGTGGTTTCTCACAGGTGGTGGTCGACATAGGTGGTAACAGTCGAGTCTAATCGGCAATGGGTGACATACATGTATATTCTTCCTATGGAAGACAAAAACGGCACAACCTGTAAAGTCTACGCCTCCCAGTGTTGATCAAGTGCTAACTGCTCATGGTCATTATTTTCAGGTCGTCGGTGACGTTAGGCCCATGGAAATGATGGCGGCGGAGATCCAGCCAACCTTCGACACAACTGATGATGGTTTCAACAACCCGCTGTACGCTTCCGTCACCCAGGTATGCTGAGCGGGAATGTTGATGATAGGGTCTATTTGATTCGGGATGATTTAGTGTGATGGACGGTACTATTCCCGATGAACCGGAAAAGAAGGGCTTCATTTTGATATTACAAGTTTCATGTACGCAACTAATTGTTGAAGCCCCGTCGTTAGACAGTCGTTCTAATGTTGTTGAAATAATATCACAAAATAAGTTGATTATAGATGTAATACCTTAACACTTAGTATACCCGATCACCTTTACAAATTCGAATGTGTAAAACGTTATGTATGTCACACAAGGGAAAAAAGTGACGTTGAATATGTGTTAACAATATAACTTGGGTATTAATTGAGTAGTGATATGATTATTAGAAATTCGGTATGAAATTTGATCAATCAGTAGTTATTTTACGGCCACAGCTCCCCAAATTGCGTTGTGAAATTGGTAACGTGAACTTGTGAATCAGTTTCAATATGGATTCCCCCGAAAGCTGGCCGAGATGAGATATTGGATTGTGGTGATCCGAATGAAGTAAAGGTTTCCAACAGGGAGCGTCAGAAAGCAGGGATGTATTAACGGTCCGGACTGAGGCGGTTTAACTGTATTCATGTTGTTGCTGTAAACGTATTATAGTGTCCCTTTTCTCCTTTACAGTCTGCTTTAAACTGTTTTATGTTGTATTTAACATTTTAAAATCCATTTTCAGGATGGAACATTCGTCGGAAAGGGCAACAAAGCATCATCAAAACAAAGCAAAGAAGACCGAGGTTCTGACAGCAATATATAATTTAAATATTTCCATTAAATCAAATTTAATTAATACAGATTATAATGATTTGATTGTGATTCTTTTCAAAATGATACATAAAATTATAATCAGTTGTTGACGAATTTGACATACCATGTGCCCCGTAGAGATTCTGGGTTTGATATGGTTGTGCTGGGCGACCTAATGGTTCGGTGGTCAGGCTCGATAATTTTGTTGACAGCGTGTCCTTATTCACCGACGACGTTATCGCTCACAATATCGATCACTGCATTGTCTTATCCAGATTCGAGTTTTTACAGGCCGCCGTAATTGCTGGAATATTGCTGAGTGCGGCCTTAAAGAACAAACAAACAAACAAACACACAAGTATTGTGATATGTTCAACAAACACCAACTGAAGGAAACAGAAAGACAATGCAAACCCGCAAAAGCTTCAGTGATTGAGAATAGACTAGTGGGATGGATATATCAGAATCAGATCATGTATTTTTCGTTAACCATCAAAAGTGCAAGTAACAGAGATTAAAGTATTGCTTGATAAATAGAACACATCAACAAGCGTTGTGTTAAAGGAGTATTAATTAATTGAAACATTTGGAAAATTAAAAGATGTTTCAGTATACAAATATCTCTCTGTTAAAGAAGATCTTCACATAAAAAAAGTGAAGTCCGTCTCCCAGTCGTCATATGAGTGAGTGAGTGAGTGAGTGAGTGAGTGAGTGAGTTTGGTTTTACGCCGCTTTTAGCAATATTCCAGCAATATCATGGCGGGGGACACCAGAAATGGGCTTCACACATGTTACCCATGTCGGGAATCGAACCCGGGTTTCGGCGTGACGAGCGAACGCTTTAACCACTAGGCTACCCGACCGCCCCCAGTCGTCATATGGATATTGTTGATTGTCATATCATAATTTACACGTACCAAGCTGAAGGTTTGCAAAGCGGGTTGTGCTAACTTACCCAATATGAGCATCCAATGTGATACGAATCGGTCCTAAATCATACCATGGTATCCAGATACATGAAGAGTTTTCCTGTATTGTAAAACTCGGAAAAAATAATAAAATATTCAATCAATGCGTTCGTTCATTTCTGTTATCTTCGTGTGTGTGTGTGTGTGTGTGTGTGTGTGTGTGTGTGTGTGTGTGTGTGTGTGTGTGTGTGTGATTTTATTTCTCATCCCCCTGTAGAGTTTACAATCCAGGCAGCGCCTGAGAAGTGCTTCAAGGAAAACAGTCACATTACCATCTCCTCCAACCGGGTACCCATTCACTACTGGGTGATCAGTGAACAAGGGCATATTTCGAAAAAAGTCACTTGTCTAAGGAAACACCAACAGTAACACATATGGTAGACTAAGTGATACGTAAATTACAACACATTAAATAAAACATGGGTCTCGCTAACTATTCAGCAAACTGTATTGGGTGTGAAGAAAACCCAGCTTTTGACAGTATGTCTTTCATGTCAAACATATGGTAGGCAAGACCCGAGCAAGCAACTCGTCTACCAGCTGGTGAAACACCCGAGCACAGACAGGGTAGCGCCGATTGAGCGGCGGTCATTATATATCAAGGCGAATCTGGGATCCATAACCACGGCCACGTCTCTATCTAAACTACTCACTCTGACAATGAATAGTTTGGCTTCTGATACATACAGGAACTGATATTACCATACAAGCCTGCACGTTCTCTCCGATCAACATCTGCTAGTGGTGCCAAAGTCCCGTACAAAAACATGGCGATAGGTCATTTCAACATGCTGATCCATTGCTACGGTACAATCTGCCACAAGAAATCTGAAAATCTGAAAATCTGAGAAACATTAAAAGGGCACTTAAGACCCGTGACTTCAAGGGAGCCTTTGACTAGATCAATCATGGTCTTAGGGCATTGTTGTTAATTAGAATATGCGCTATACAAATTCTTTATTAAATTAAATTTAACTTAATTTCTTATATCCTCGTGTTATGGGTTTTCGAACGCTTAAGGAACATTCGTAGTTTTCTCGCTAATCACAAGAACAACCGTAAAACTAGACTAACATCTAGTCTCTGAAATGAACATATCGTACAGAAAAAACAGTTGTTCAGTTATCTTAATAAAAATATAATAAAAGGGAACCCAATGATTCTCTTCATTTTCAGATATGATTCCTGATACTGCAGTAATCTAGACTTGCCAAACATTAAAGACTTGCATGGGCTGTATTTGATATATATTTGTATCAGGGTCTGTAAGACAGACTACCGTAAAACATCTCACTCACTTTTAAAAGACAACTTTATCTCAAAACCAAGCCATCAACTGGGTATTTACAAAGTCTGTGTGACGCCACACCCCTTGTTAAAGCGCGATTAACCGGGATAAGCATGGCCGTTCAAAAACGTAACTACGATGTCCGAAAAGCTATGAGCAGACGATAATTACTGGTTCAATGTATTTCTAAAGTGAATGCGCAATCCCTGCAGCCCAACCTCCGCCAGTGCAAATAGATGTAATATTGACGAGTGCGGCGTTAAACAAACTAATAAACAACACCTATATGTCCCGTACGTGTGGTTTGAAGGGGTCACCAGCAATCCATGCAGGTCGAAAGAGGCGACCAAATGAATCGAGTGGTCAGGCTCGGTGACTTAAAATTGTTTGATTGCGTTGTCCTCGTACCCCAACGGCGTTGATCGTTCAACAATATCGATCACTGCATTGTCTGGTCCAGACTGGACTATTCACAGGCCGCCGTTTAATAGCTGGAATATTACTAAGTGCGGCGTAAAACGACAAACAAAACAAACTGTACGTGATGCTGTTAAACCATCCTTGTCAACCAGAAGAAAACTGGTTGCATTGTTAACATGACGAATCTGCAAAAAAGTCTTAGTCGCTGTACTTTTCAAGATTTACATTTTGTATCCATAAATATTGATCGATGGAAGTTATAATACATAGTTAGGGCGAAACGGTGCCACAGGTTGATGAAAGTTACATATTGCTCCCAGAGCCGTCAGGTGAAATCAACATTCCATTCGTTCGTGACGAACTCGTGTCATTCCGTGACAAGCCGAATGGCGGGATACAGAAAAAATGCGAGTGGTGGCGAATGTTTCAGTCAACTGAAGTTATCTCCCTTCCACCATTTCAAGATGTCTGCGCCCATGGGCTCAGATTGCGTTATTTGGCTATCCGTTGTTTTGTTAACGTCATTTCAACCCTGTATTGGAGATGAACATCATATCGCATCGAAAGTGAAATCTGAAAAGACAGAACTAAAAAGGTAACACGATTTCATCTTGAAAAACCTGTTAGTACTGCAGGAAAATAGTGATAGTGGCGGGCGCGAGCTGCTACTGTCAGTATCCTGTGTTAGGCATACAACGATATGAACCATATAGGTGTAGCGGCCATGACATGTCCGAGTCCCATGATGGGATTCGAGCTACGGACTTTCTGATCCGACGTCGGACGCCTTGTCCACATGGCTATGTAATTAACCCAAAGAAAGGTTGACAAGGTAAGGATGTCGATCTGTGGGATGACTCGACCCCCTTCAACCATGTTTACATTGTCAAGACTGTAGCTTGTAGCGCCTATTGGCTCCATTACTGTGACCTCGCGATCCTTAGGGCAATTGTATTAGGGTTAGGGTAGATTACCCCAAAATGGATCCTAAACACGTGGATTCACTTTACGATTGAACCGCCCTTTGCGATCATTCGGATTTGGCATCCCTTGCCAATCAAACCTACGATCCTAAGGGTTAGCGCTTGACCACCCGATCCCATTAGTTGCCTCTTACGACAAGCATAGTTGCCTTTTACGGCAAGCATTGGTTGCTGAAGACCTATTCTAACCCGGATCTTCTCGGGTCTTTTTGTCACTAGTGGATCTGAATGGATCTATCTTTTTGGTAACTAGAATGAACACTGTGGTGTATTTATCATGACTGTCATGGACTTTCGTTGTTTTCCTAGATGTGGCTATAACTTGAAGGTCCTGTGGCAGGCCGAGGTGGGTCTTTCGCCATTTGCTGCATCTCCGCTACTTGCTGATGTGGATGGGGATGGAGTGATTGATGTCATTGCTGCACCGTTCAGTGAGGCGCTGACAGTGTTGGATGGGGAGAATGGTAAAACACTGGAAGACTCTCGTTGGCCATCTCAAAACTTGGAGAATTCTATACACTCAAGTCCACTGCAGGTACTGTCAAACTTTGAGAACTCTATAAATACCATGATATACTCAAGTCCCGCTCTTTATATACTTAAGTTCACTGCTAGAAAGGCCATCATATAGCTGGAATATTGCTGAGTGCGGCGTTAAACAACAAATAAACAAACAAACACTGCTGGAAATGTTAAACTTTGATAACTCGATCTATATCATGTATATATTCAAGTCCACTACATGTACTCTAAAACTTTAAGCATGTTGATAACTCTTTACTGTCAAACTCAACTTTTCTGATCACATCTTGATTGCAATAATCAGACTTTGTGTTCAGGAATGTTCAGGTAATGATTTGGATAGAAATATACTGCATTTTCTGGGTAGAGCTTGGTACCTCTAGATTTATAGTTTAGATGGAACCAACCAAGAATAGTTGGTCCAAAAAACTACAATAGTTTCCATTTTTATGGTTTATGCTCATGTTGTCTTGTTGTGCCCCAGTACGATGTGGACGGAGATGGGATGCTGGATGTTCTGTTTGTCATGTCATCTGGGGAACTGAAGTTTTTCAAGTATGATGGAACTTACTTGCCCCAGTACACGTATCAGGTAACTGCACTTGTTATCATGATTCTCGGCAGTGTTCACCAAGCTGGTAAATACCACTTTTATATTGTTTGGTTTATAGATTTGACCGTCTGGATGCAAACTCCACAAGTGAAAGAAAAGTGAAATACAAATTCAGATTGTGCAGACTGCTCCATCATTGAACATGCAATATTAAGGAAGCCATTAACTTTGTGAATAACAATTGATCAAATGAAGTTGATGTATTCTCTGGCCACTGCAAACCTCTTGTGTACTTGTATTAAGAAAACAAAGCCACCTCATGAATGTCAATATATGCATATTACAGTCAAATTATTAAACATACTGAACTTTGCACAACATTATCATTTTATTTGCTCACCTACTGACCGACAATTGTTTATTTATTGCGCTACACAAGTCATTTAAGATAAATAGAGTAGACTAACCACTGAAAACAGACACTGGACCATATACTACCAAGCTGTAGGTCTTAGGTGCTTCAGTTTCTGTGTAGAGTTATGTCCCTTGCTTGTGCATTGGTCGATGTGTTGTGGGATTCGGATGCCAGATCAGCCCTGATTATGATCCTGGGTGTGTCAGCATATGTATTCTTGCACATTTCACCACAGTTTTAATGTCTGTGACCTATATTTCTTAAGGGGGCAGTTGGGTAGCCTTGTGGTTAAAGTGTTAGCTTGTCATGCTGAAGACTCGAGTTTGATTCCCCATATGGGTGACGTGTGAAGCCCATTTCTAGTTTCTCCCATCATGATATTGCTCAAACATTGCTAAAACCATACTCACTCACTCATAAGTTCTTAGGCTCCTCCTCCCAACCTAAGAAAACAATCAGAATATTTTTCAAAGCAATATTAAATCAAATTCAATCACAATGAACACAAATGGTATCTACTCTATTTAAAGTTGATGTACCCTTTCAGTGTTGTAGTTGGATTGATAAAAATCAGGAAAAAACTGATACTTTATTCCTATTGTTATGAATTTTCAATATTTGATCTATATGACAGGCGTGTGCCTATTGCTTGTGTGTTTCAGCTGCCTCCTGTGTATGTACTTAAAGACTGGCATGAGAAGGTTCTGTACGCTGGGTATGATGATATCCACCAGTACGTTGCTGATGATGTCACAAAAACAAATGTGAGTTTCGTTGAATCATTATAGAACAGAACTGTTTCATTTATCAAGTTTATGGAGCTGAGTATGTAACACTGTAGTGTTATTGGTGAGATGAGTTCAGATTGTTGTTTTACACCACTTAAATAGCACTCCAGAAATTTCCCTGCAGTCAAATCCTAGAGTCCTAGAGTCAACAAACCTGCAGTTAAGTACATGAAAACTGCTACAATCAATATTGTTGGGGAATGTTGTAACACAATCATATAGGCAAAACAATTGACCACCTCATCATGCTAATCTGAAGTCAAGATTTCTCTTACTCATTCCCTTAATTAGGATGTATTGATTAATTTGATAAATAGTTAATGATACCACTGCATATAGCAACTTAGTCCACAACGAGAATAATCATTTGTAATAGCCACTTGCTTTCTCATCCTTTGTCATCTTGTACAGTGATCCTGCTGGCTTTCTTCGTGGACTGGCAACTTTAAAAATTACCTATCCCCCCTAATTTTTGTCAGTCACCAACTTCAACAAATGTATGAAAATTCCCTGGTTATAATTCTTTCAAGATCATGTTCAATGTAATGACATCATCTCTGAAGTGACTTAGTTAGATCTACATGTCATTCACACAAAGTTCAGTCACAATTTTCTCTTCTTTTTTTATAATATTTCGAGACGAAGACACTACAAATATATTTTGAACCTCGAAGAAAAGCGAAATGTTGTTTCATTGCACTAAAAATAGACAAGGGGAAACCCTGATGGTAACAGACAAGCTGACTTTGTTCGAAGCTTATTTGAATATTGCCAGTGTTGTGTTCAACAACAGAGATTTATAAGGTATTTTGTTTGGAGGTCCACAGGGACTGACTCTCACATGAATTACTGGTGCAATCCTAATTTGACCGGTACATAACTGGTAATTACTGGTAAAGGGGAACACTGTTGTATGCTAAAGGTCTTGTTACCTTCACCTCAGGCCTCTACTAAAGTTTACCTTAGCTTTGAGCACAGTACAGGGTGTTTTGAAATGCTTGTACGACAATGCTTGTTAATAATGTCTGCAAGGCCGTAGGGTGATCTTAACTTGAACCATGTGGTAGTCCTAATATTATTTAAAACAAATTAGTCATTCACAAATTTTAATTAGTACATTTATAAACTTCAATTTATTATGTGTATTAATCTAGCATTTAACAATTACCCTAATAGCACAGACACAGTATCTTAGTTTGGCAGACATACAAGTAAGTACCATATTAAATCTTGACCTACTCATTCTCATTATAATCAGATCTTTTACTTTCATGCCATAGATATATGGAGGTGTCATCAGATCTTCATACAGATAGGCATTGCATTGGAGTAAGAGATCTGATTTTATTTTAATGAGATTTGGAAATATTGGGAGGGTTGTTGTGGAGGGTACTATTATCATGATTATGAGTGTTACTATTACAGCTGTTCATGATGAGATATCCAGCTGATGATATTGTAGACATACTGTCAGTTCAACTGAGTGTGGCTCTGTGTATAGGCCTACCTCCCCGTGGACCCCCACGTGTATGCCACGCCTGCACTGGCTGACCTCAACCGAGACGGCAGGCTGGAGGAACTGGTTCTACCTGTCACCTACTTCTTTGATGAAGAGGATTACAGGTAAGGGGTTGGTCGGAAGAAAAAAGAAAAAAAGCAGAAACAAAAGCACTACCTTTGGTCATTATTGGTTTAGTATGCAACTCACCTTTAATGTTGCTGTAATTTTTGATATTAAGAACACGCTGTGTCATCAACTGATCATAACATCTATTTACTGATTTCCCCCCAAATATGCCAAAATCTTGTGGCTAAATATTATTAATTGCTTCTTGGCAATCAGCGCATCAGTCATTTTTATTGCCAATAAATAATATTTTTTAAAAATTTCCTGCAGATTTTGTAATGCATGCTTGACTACTGACTGAGTTTCATGTGTGTGTGCCCAGCTGTGTTTGTTGGGGAAACAATAAAACGTGTTCTTCTCTCGACCATCACCTTTGTTTCATTAAAAAAAACCCGTTCTTCCTCACTCTCCTCCAGAAACTTTTTATGCAGCCTAAGGTGTTTGAAGTGATTTTCTAAATTTTTAAGCCTATCCTATTTCACACTATGCATTTCTTCTTCTTTTGATCCTACATTGAAACGTGCTTGAACAAAGTTTCCAGTTTCTACAAAAACAATTGACCCGAACACATCGTAGTGTCACCATGGTCATCACCCAAACAATAGGGCCCTGCACTGAAATCCAGTGCGCTGTGACCTACCAAAAGCTTACATGCCTACCCAAGCCAAATCATTTCTCTTTCTAATTGCCACAGTGGTGACGTGCTTCTGTGTTAGAGAATACAGTTGTTTTTTAGTGGTTACACTACTTACAACCCCAAAGTGTTTCTAAGCGAAAAGAGGTCGTGGACAACCCAAAAACACATCAGTTTTGTTTGCAGGCAGACTTTTTCACGATCCAACCTGCATGACAAGTGTTGTGACAGCCAGGGTCATGCAGCTCTTCTTCTTGTGTCCATCTCTCTGATGAATCCTTCAGTGTCTACCTGCACAAATGTCGGCTTAGAGACAGGCGTTTCAAATTGAAGGATTTCAGAGAATAAATCCAATGCTAAGAAGACTGCTCCAAAGAGCCTGTTTGAGGGTTTGAAGCCTCAGGAATCAGCCCTACCTGCGCTTTCCATCAAAGACAATGGTGTCAGATACTTACAACCCCAAAGTGTTTCTAAGCGAAAAGAGGTCGTGGACAACCAAAAAACACATCAGTTTTGTTTGCAGGCAGACTTTTTCACGATCCAACCCGCATGACAAGTGTTGTGACAGCCAGGGTCATGCAGCTCTTCTTCTTGTGTCCATCTCTCTGATGAATCCTTCAGTGTCTACCTGCACAAATGTCGGCTTAGAGACAGGCGTTTCAAATTGAAGGATTCGGAGAATAAATCGAATGCTAAGAAGACTGCTCCAAAGAGCCTGTTTGAGGGTTTGAAGCCTCAGGAATCAGCCCTACCTGCGCTTTCCATCAAAGACAATGGTGTCAGATACTTTTTCATGGATGACATCCCTGCCTCCCTTGACAAGCAGTCTGCTAGCTGTTACAGACGTGCGCCAGGTTCAAGCAACAGAAATCTCAGTTGTTCAGGGATTGTCCGCTACCACCCTTCCTTCACAGTCGGTCATGTTCTCTCCTGCTGCCAGGGAGTCTGCGGTTAGGTGTTTGTTGTCTTCTTCTCCCACATGTACTATTGCCAATACTGCAGATACTCTTCCAATTGCATCCCTCCATCTGCAGTGACGACATATTCTTTGCCTAACGCTAAAGATGAATATTATTTTATGCCACTTTGTTGGCACGTTCGTCAACCTTGGGCCGCTCCTCATCCTCCAGTTATCTGGACCATCATCACCAATGGGATCGGGCTTGCTCTGATAATTACCATCATCCACAACAGTTTTTTCCTTGGAATTCTTCTCCTTACGGTGGACCTCCCGTGTGAATGTCAACGCTTCCCCCTTGGTACCGGTACTCCTATGATTCACCTTATCCAGATTACCATCATTCTATCATTCTCCTCGCAGGAATCCATCTTCTGGTCATTGTCGCCGAGATGATCCTCACCGTTCTTCTACTTCCTGTAGATGTCCGTGGCCAGTAGCCACACCTGGGAATAACAGTTCTGCGTGTCGCCCCGGATCTCTGTCTCCGCTTCTAGTTCTGGCCCCTACCACTTTGTCTGTACCGGGTCCACCTGTGACACACAGCTGCTTCCTACTCCATAGGATCCTAACTATTCAACTGGTGGTGTCCATGGTGATGCTGGGATGTGTTCGTGTGAATTATTTTATAGAAGCTGGAAAATTTCTTCAAGCATGTTTCCACGAAGGATTAAAAGAAGAAATGGATAGTGTGAGAGAGGATAAGTATTATTAATATACAATTTATTGCAAAATTTACAATATTTTATATTTATGATCTACTCTCCAAAAACAATTGAGGCATATGCTGTATGTAGCCATGCTAACTTGCAGTGCTGTTCAAACATATTTCAGAACTCCTGAAAAGAAGCAACATCTGAAAGACCTGAAGAGTCCTCTCTTTAGTCGGTATTTGGTGGATGGAGTGACAGTTCTCAACCTCACCAGCCTTGAACCAATCAGGCACGTCTACCTGGATCTAACACAGGTAAGTCGCTTTCTGTATCAGTTTTTGACCTGACATAAGTATGTAGGTTTCTTCATCAATCCTTGAACTAACATGGGTACGTAGGTTTCATCATCAATCTTTGAACTAACATGGATACGTAGGTTTCATCATCAATCCTTGAACTAACATGGGTACATAGGTTTCTTAATCCTTCATTTAGTACAGTTGTGTATGTTTCTTAATCAATCCTTGATGTAACATGGGTAGATTGGTTTGTTTTAATCTTCCGTGGGTATGTAGGTTTGTTAATAAATTAGATACTTGTAATTAACATGATTAAGCCTGGTGCAAACTCATTAAAGATATTTACTCCAATTCGGTACCTGTTTACATGCAGATCTAAAAAAATTCCTTTAAGAGTTGCATCATGTGAAGCCTGAGTGAACTTTGACCACCCAATCAAAATGAAGGATGCACAGGTTCTTGAGCCAATCAGATGTCTGCCTTCTATAACATTTTAGTATCGCAGTAAAAGATCTGATTTTAGTGATAGTGCACTTGCTACCAGGTACATGAGACCTAGTCTGTGTTGGAATTTTACTTGTAGTATGGAAAGACTGAAATAGTCACAAATCCTTTGTCTGGCAGGTACACGCGCAGTTTCCTGCCTTCACTCTGTTCTCCCCGACGGTCATAGACCTGGACAGCAACGGCAGTGACCTGGAGGTGCTACTGGCCACCTCGGCGGGCAATCTCCATGTCCTGGACAAGTTTGGTCACCAACGGAGAGGATTCCCTAAAAATATGAACAGTTTACATGGTCAGGTGAGGTGACCTGAACACTTGTTCCCATTGGGGGAGGGGGTGGGAGGGGACTTATCAAGGAACACAGTCTGTACAAGAAGTGACTTCAGAATAAAGGCTATGCTTGCATACAGTCCACCCAGATCACTTTCCCAAAACTCACTTTCTTCCGTACTCCAATATCAGATTTTACAATAGAACATATATATGAATAGAATACAATGTCAGGTAACCACCCTTATGACAAGATAGTACAAATGATCAGCTTCTTTGTTACTGGTGACAACATTGCTTCAGTGTTGACATCACTATCAATCAAGCCATCACTTGCTTGGTGTTAGAATCTCACCCAAATGTGGCTACAATTGGAATAAAAATGATCATCCATAGTCTCTCATCATCTGTCATACAGCCAACTTCTAACTGGGGCACAGGTTGCCCAGTCTTCTAAGGCACCACAATTTGCTGTGCAGAGTTGCGTCCCTTGGGCACGCCAGAAACCTATGGTTGTTGGTTCGAATCCTGGTTAGCCATGATTATGTTTCTAGGTTTGTCATCACCATACCTATGCTCAAGGGTTTCACCAAAGTGGTTCACGTCTAAGACCTGCATCACTTTGGGCTCTCTTCCCACATTAAGCTGACATGCTATGATATAATGTTCAAAGCAGGGTTAAAACCAACTCACTCGCTCAAATTTCTAACATGTGTAAATGCCACTCAAACATCAGGACACGACACTTTGGGAACCTAGATAAAACAACTTGTAGAATGTAACAAGGGGAGATAATTCATTCACAGGTAAGTATGAACACTTTACACACACTTTTGAATCACTCCTTGTCAATTTGACAACCTGTTACCTGCTCCATCCCTTTTCTCCTTTAGGTAACAGTAGAAGACATAAACAGAGACGGCAAGCTTGAGATTATTGCCATAGACACAAGTGGTAATGTTGCATGTGTAGACAGAGATGGCGTCACCTTGTGGGAAGGGGAGGTAACTGGTTCATCATCACCTGGTAGTCGGATCACGGATATTAATCAGGATGGGATACTCGATGTTGTCATAGCAACGAGTGATGGGTATGTGTTTACTGGAGGTTAGCCTTTGTTCATGTACTCATCATAGACATCGCTGTCATCATGATTGTGCCACGCAGTAAATGTGTACTCTATCTGAAACTTACACTAAATAACTGACACTTTTCAAGTATAGGTTAGACATTTTTAACTTAATAGTTCAGGCGATGAAAAGTTGTCTAAATGTTTCTTGTTGTCACTCATTTTCAACATGTTACACACACTGTCTGTCATTCTGATTTGGTCAGTTATTTCTTGGTAGGTTGCCTGGTGACTTTGTCATTTTGAACCTTTTATCTTAATGCTTGAATAAGAAGAAATGTTAAGCTCAAAATATGAAGGACATTTCTATCATAAGCATTATTTAAAACTCATGCATTTAATGTGATTACCCTTATTATGAATTTGTTTATTTTGTTTATCAATCTCATTAAAATTAGATCTAAGTTCTTGCTACCGCTAAGCTTTGTTTAGCGATAGCGAGAACAACGATCTCATTTTAATGATGTTGTATTGAGTATATACTCTTTATAACCTTGGTCACGATATGGCTGAAATACTGCCGATGTGACGTTAAATCTCAACACACTTATAACTCTTATGACCATTTATTTCTTCATCCAGACATGAGTAAACATATTCTGGTGATGATTTATTCCTGGTCTTCAAGCAACATGCCGCAGCTAATATGCCTTGTGTAAAGACAACTTATGTCTGCATTTAGACCATGCAGACAATGAAGGAAAATTGTTCTCTGTTGTACTCTCAACATGCTAAAATAAACTTCTTCAAAAGTCTTTTCCCGGAAACATGGGGGCCTGATGAACTGTTGTTTTTGCTGTAGCCTATAGACGTACAGGAGGTTGGATCACATAGAACTGATCATGGAAAAAGAAAAGAAAGGAATGTGCTTATTGGCAGTAAATTGTAACTATTTTGCATTTGGCGTATTTAATCACTATGATTTCTGGTTCCAGTAATGTCTTTGCACTGAATGGTACTACCGGTAAGCCCCTCCCTAAATGGCCGATGAAGTTTGGCACGAGGATAGCAGGAAACATTCTCCTGACAAAGATTGGTTCCACAGATGGCGCTGTGGACCTGGTATGTAGTCATGGATACTGACAGCAATGAAAGTGCATGTGCTTTGTAATTCTCCTCCTAGGATGCTAGGTTTAAGTCTGTTGTCATAACAACGGCCTGGGTTCGATTCCACACAGGGTTACAATTCGTGAACCTCTTTTCTGTACCCGGCTGTGATGTTGTGTCAGTATTGCTAAATGCAGCGTAAAACCATACTTGCACTCTCACTTTAGTCTGTTGCTGGTAGTGAGGTAGCCTAAAGGCTCTACGGCCCAGGTTCAGATCCAATATGGACTGAATTTGTGAACCCTAGTTTGACTCCTCTGTCATTACATTATGTCAATACTGCTAAAAAGGCGAAATCCTACTGATCACAAGGATTATCAAAATCATGAAACATTAATATCTTATTGTTCATATTATCTGTTTGTAAAATGAAATTTGAAATTTAATGAAGGAAACGCAATGTAAAGGCATATAATTATTTAGGAAGTTGTTTTGAGAGTGTCCAGCCCTGATTGTCCCAAGATCTGTTAAATCAAGTTGTGAAGATGTGTCTTTGGCCGAGATGGCAGGATTATATAGCTCATGGTGTCTACCACTGATGTGCCTGGTCGAGACTCAACTGTGTACAGGCAGCCAGGATATGGGGTTATATTTCTGATACAACATAAATCAACATTGAATCACTTGTATGTTTGACCTCCAGGTGTTTGTGGCAGACGACAGCTTCTTGTACCTTGTGTCGGGGGATCAGGTGTGTCAGGCCCACCTGCCTATTGGGGAGATGTCGCTCGTGGAGATCGTCAGCCACGAGCTCATTCCCATGTCCCGGGGCCTGGAGCTCCTGGTCTCCACCAATGACGGGACTCTGTTCTGCCTGGGAACAGGGGTGGAGCCACATCCCAGTGAATGGATCGGGGAGACGTGGAATCGAGGGATTCAGCTGCTGGCCTGGCCTGCTGTCACGAAAACACCCAATGACTTCACTGTCCATGACCAGAAGGTACAAGACTTTACCACCCAAAACCGGCTTCCACAGGAGATATCACTTTACTATTTACACTCAAGACACTGTTTATTATAAGGGTAACACTATTTTTTAGGGCATTATTGTTTGCAGAAGCCTGAGGTCTTCCATTAACTGCCCGACGAAAGAGGGCAGTTGAAAAGACCGAGTGTTATTATAAGAACTAGTGGACTAAAAAGGTTAGCTTCTAGTGGTGAATAGAAGTGTGACTGTTCTTCAGATTGCCATGGGGCCTTTGAAAAAAGCCACATGCACAAAAGTATCACCTGGCTTTATCATGTTTATAGTTCTGGAATCAGAGCTGCGTTCCACAAAGTTATCTTAGCTGTAATGAAACAGTTGAAATGAGGTTTTTTCCTCCAAGTGGAAATAATAGTGTAATAATGTAATAAGACTGTTGTCAGTGTTGTAGACTGTTGTCTGTGTTGTAGACTGTTGTCTGTGTTGTAGACTGTTGTCTGTGTTGTAGACTGTTGTCTGTGTTGTAGACTGTTGTCTGTGTTGTAGACTGTTGTCTGTGTTGCAGACTGGCGTGTATGTGTTGTAGACTGTTGTCTGTGTTGCAGACTGGCGTGTATGTGGTGAGCAGCACGAGGGAGCTGATGGAGGTGACGGGCGGGTCCTTCTGGTTGCAGTACCAAGTGATGGATTCTGCTGGACCCACATCGCCCTTTCCTAAGCAGTCTCCTTACACTATTCAAGTAGGTTTCATACTTGTTTGGATGTGCAGGTTGATACAAGGGTCATAAACCAGATTATGGTGAATGAGGATATTGGAATAACTTGTGTTTATGCATTCAGGCTTTTTTATGGCTTTCAAATTTTGCTAGCATGGGTATCTTTTTGAAAACCGAAACATTTTTTTCTGGTAAATGGTGCCCAAAATTAATTTTTCACTGGATGTCTTGACACAAACTCATTAAAATCTTTAACTTCCATATGTTACCTCCCTGCGTCCAGATCTCAGAACACCTCTGCTCATGTAAACCCTAAACGATCTTCTACTTCCATATGTTACCTCCCTGCGTCCAGATCTCAGAACACCTCCGCTCATGTAAACCCTAAACGATCTTCTACTTCCATATGTTACCTCCCTGCGTCCAGATCTCAGAACACCTCTGCTCATGTAAACCCTAAACGATCTTCTACTTCCATATGTTACCTCCCTGCGTCCAGATCTCAGAACACCTCCGCTCATGTAAACCCTAAACGATCTTCTACTTCCATATGTTACCTCCCTGCGTCCAGATCTCAGAACACCTCCGCTCATGTAAACCCTAAACAATCTTTTACTGCCCAATCAAATTGAAGGTCTCATTTCTTGAGTCAGTCAGATGTCAGCTTTCTGAAACAGTTTGACTTCAATTTCTATCCTGCCTCGATTTGGATATTTAGATCGCTGTCAAAGAAAACCGAAACAGAACACAAATATACCCCCATAGTAACCCTTTTGGATGTAGATGCCATCATGGTGCTCACAAGCAGCAGGATGTATGACATACCAACAACAAATATAATAGCAGGGGTTTGTTTTGCATGTGGATTTTGTGGCATTTCGTGGCATATTTTATAAAAAAGTATGACTTGAACATGTTGAAACAGTGACAGAAACAATTAATTGTGTCTAAAAGTCCCTCGATTTGTAGGTCTGTAATGTGTCTGATATGAATGTTTAAGAATATTAATTCATTGATGTGATAGTTTTTCTCTTAACTCTGTACGTTTTCAGGTGTATTATGGCAGGCACCTGCTGGCAGAGGAACAGCGGTCCGAGCCAGGGATGTATTCTCTCAAAGTTCCTGTGTGGCCAGTTCCAGGTCGAGGTCATGTGACAGTTATCTTGACCAATCAGCATGGCCAGATATTTAAGGACACATTTCCACTTAAGTAAGTAATTGATATGTCTGACCTGTTTGACAGAAGGATGTTGGATTTCCCTGTGTGGCAACATAATATTGCCCTGTGTGTAAACATCTGAATGCCATGTGTATCAATATCTGATTGCCATGTGTATCAATATCTGATTGCCATATGTATCAATATCTGATTGCCCTGTGTAGCAACATCTGAATGCCATGTGTATCAACATCTGATTGCCATGTGTATCAATATCTGATTGCCATGTGTAGCAACATCTGAATGCCATGTGTATCAATATCTGATTGCCATGTGTATCAATATCTGATTGCCATGTGTATCAATATCTGATTGCCATGTGTATCAATATCTGATTGCCATGTGTATCAATATCTGATTGCCCTGTGTAGCAACATCTGATTGCCCTGTGTAGCAACATCTGATTGCCCTGTGTAGCAACATCTGATTGCCCTGTGTAGCAACATCTGATTGCCCTGTGTAGCAACATCTGATTGCCCTGTGTTGCAATATCTGATTGCCTTGTGTAGCAATATCTGATTGTCCAGTGTTGCAATATCTGATTGCCACAAAAGTTTAACAACGACACCATGACACAGCTGGAATAATGCTGACTGCAACATGCACAAGAAAACAAGAAAACCACACTATCCACTGAACAAGATAAGAGATTTGAACAATGTTGCAAAAGGCTAGCATTTCCATATGCCAAGCTGGTTAGTTCACATGTTCTGTACTTTTTGTTTGGTATGTAGAAAACTTTGCTTTGTACATGTTATTTTGTGCAACTTCTTTTTTCTACAGAGTAAAATTGTACATTATTTTCACTATCTGCTAAAATACTGCCATTGCATCATATTTCAGATTTAATCAACTGATTCTTCAAGATCTACAATGGTTGGTTTTGGCTCCTTTTGTTGCTATGGCAACAATATTATTAGTAAATCATGGATTTCCTGCCAAAGATTTGTTGCCAATGACATTTCCAGCAAAGGCAAAGTGAAATCGTACAACAGTGTATGAATGCCAAACTCTGTCAGAAACTGCCTAGAACAACATATCAAGAACTTGCAGGATGGATGTGGATGGTATAACAAGGCACATTGATTCTCATGATTTTGTCTACATAGTCAATGATAGTGGTCAGCACCAAGAGATACAAAAAAGACGGTATAAGACTGATGAGACAGCTTGGATGGCTCGGATAAACATATCTAAGATATCTGTGAGTGCTGCAGCAAGTTTATTTACCTTTGGTTCTGGTGACTACATGAAATCCTGCCATTTTCACGAGAAGTGTCTTTCCCAGTGTGGAATAAGACAAACCATGTTGTCAGGAGGTAGTAAGCTCCTGTACGCACGGAGATTCCGGGTTGGAAGTAGTTCCAGCAACCTATGTCATACGGTGCAACTTTGTGGGTTGGGTCCTTATACCCTGATGGTAGAGGCTGGTGTTCATAAGATCAATCACTGGCTTGTCTGGCCCAGACTTGATTATTTACAGGCTGAAATCTAGCTGGAATATTGCTGAGTACAGAGTTAAACAAACAAAGTGGCCACTGATCATATAAGTGCAATAATCTGGATTGGACGTTAAAGGTCTTTCACCTCATCCACCTAGTTTAGGCGAGGCACGAGAGTCAAAAACTGAAATGTTTGTGAACACTGCCAAGCATGTTACCCTATGTTCTGGAAATCTGTCAACCATATCAATATGTCTTTCATACTACCCTCTGTAGAATGGAGACACATGGAGACCTTTAACCTTCAAGAAGCACTTTTGGTGGTTTCTTGTTCATTGCCACCATGTTGGATGAACAGACTGAACAAGATCCCTGTAGAATAATATGTGTAGAAAGTGTGCTCAAGGACTTGTGGGCATGTTGTTATTGTGCTATGTACCGGTATATGTTTGTTTGCTATGCCAATGTCCTTTGTTTGTCATAATGTATCTGAACATAATCTTGGTAGACAAACTCCAAACTAGTATACATGTCCCTGCAGGGACCAGTACAGACTAGCTGAAACCTGTATGTACCAGTAGAGTCTAGTATAGGGCAGTTGAAACCAGTAGGGTGTAATATAAGCCAGTTGAAACGAGTAGGGACCAGTCTGGTGCACATAAAGCACTGCAAGAGTTGCAGCATGAACTTGTGATTGAATCTTCTTGGTTTATTGCACAAGGACCAAATTTTCATTTTAGAAAATGCCATGGTACAAATATTCACTGGTTCACATGCTGTAAAGTAGTCAACGATTATGAAAATATAGTTCCAGTTTTCCACTGAATAATAAACAATGCAGTGTGGAATGTAGGAGGAAATAAATAAATATATGATCAATAGCCATCCTATCATCATGATCATACCATCACCAGTATTATCATGATTATGGTAATATTACCTGTGTCAGGTGGATTTCACCGACCACCCAACTCAGTTCCATTGTATCAGTGGAGGCAGATCCAGGAGTAGGACCACCCTAGAGTAACACCGAAGACCCGGGTTCGATTCTCCACGCGGGTACAATGTGTGAAGCCCATTTCTGGTTTCTCTGCCATTATATTGCTGGAATATTGCTGAACGCGGCGTTGAGACATACTCACTGACTCACTCAATATGTGATGTAGTACAGAGTTCCACATTGTGCAAGGTTTTACCTAGACTTACCTGTAGTCCCAGAAATAAAATGATCTTTTTTAAAAATATACATCATGATAATTCCACAAAATAAAATCCCAATGGAGCCCAGAACAATGCTTAGTTTCAGCCAAGAGCTTAGGCAATCTTGACTTGTCAGATCATTGTAGATCTAGGGGGATATAGTCATCATCTGGTCCGTCTGTATTTCGTGTCTGGAGCACATCCAAACTTAGTACATGTATTAACCAATGCCTGAAGTGGTGCCTTTTGCTATTCAGGAATTTTTCAAAATTCATTTTTTCCAGTTTCCATGGAAACAAGTTGGACTTAGCTGAAACAGAGGAAGGTGTCATTGAGTAGCTTTTTAGTTCTGCTCTGGAAACATTTTTCATCCAAACTTGGTACATCTATTAATCAGGGGTTGATGTGGTGCCTTTTGCTACTTTGCCTTTTGCTATTTAAAAAAACCAAAATCTTTTTCCTGTTTCCATGGCAACAGGTTTGGCTCTGACTCTGTTACATTGTGTTTGTCTAGACCATATCTCTAAAACTAATAGGTACTCCTTCTTGAAACTGTGCACCAGGCCAGGTTGTCAACTGGTACCTTTTTTGTTATTTAGAGATTTTTAGAATTTATATTTTTTCCCTTTCAATGGCAACAAGTTTGATTTTGACTGTTCATTCATATTGGTGTGTACCTGACATAGAAATACACAAAGCTCTGAAGCCCAGTTCCATGGCTTTGTTTTGATAGCTCAATAACTATTCTTGTATATGGACAGGCAGATTAGATAGAAATTCTCTCATCAAGTTGGACTTAAAGTAACAGTCAGATAATTTGTTCTATCGAATTTGTGGGGGCTGGAGGGATTTGTCATATTCTGGTGACTCTTGTAATTTATTCTCTTGGATCTGGGAGACAGACTACATGTAGGTGTTGAAATGCGTTCTCAGGATATAAAGTTTTATGGTAGACATGTGGAGGACATTTCCAAATTTGATGCATCAGTGACCAAAATTATATCTGATTCATGTTTTTATTTGTCCATTTTATGGCTGGTTCAAGTGAATAATTGACTTGCCTTTTTATGTGTTTGTGATGGGTGTGACTGGTTCGATTCCCAATATGGATACAATGTGTGAAGCCCATTTCTTGTACCCCGCCGTGGTATTGATGGAAAAATGCTAAAAGCGGCGTAAAACCCTACTCACTCACTCATGTCTGGGTCTCTAGCACCCACGCATTCGAGACAACAGTGTTTGACTGTAATAGATGACTTATACACATGATATAGCCATGGAGTGGCATGCTCAAAGCACATTACATTATTTCCCCTTCCACCTGATCAGTCTGCATTCCAACTGTATTCTCAACTCCCTGGGGAGGATCCAACCCAACATTCAGTGTGCTCATTATTGGTGTACTTTGCTGATAGTAAATGAATAAATGAGTAAATGAATAGCTGCATATATAATACATGAATACTGATTGCTGTCACTTGTTTTCTTCATTTCATGTCTGTGCAAATTGTAAAGTGTTGAAGCTGCCCTGCCCCTGAAGATTCGGGTTAGAATAGGTCTTCAGCAACCCATGCTTCCCGTAGAAGGCACCTAACGGGATCGGGTGGTCAGGCTCGCTGAGTTGGTTGGTGAATGTCATCGATCGCAATTGCGTGGATCGATGCCCATGGTGTCAGTCACTGGATTGTCTGGTCCAGCCTCGATTATTTACAGACCGCGGTCATATAGCTGGAATATTGCTGAGTGCAGGGTCAAACAACCAACCAACCAACCTGCATAACGCTTCTGATACAGTCATGTACTGACACACAATGAAAAAGCAAGATCAACTGTAACTGGAAGGAAAAGAAAACTATTTTAGCAGTAAATATTTACTTGCATGAGAAATAATGATGACAGTGTCGAGGGCGGATTGTCCATAATATCAAAATCCTCTCTCAGTTTATTATAATTTTACTGCCAATAACATGCTACATTTGGTTTTCAAAAAGGAGTGGGATATCTGGACACCCCCCCTCCCCCTCTGGATCCGCCTATGCTGTGTGACAGGATGATATTGTTGTATTTGATTATCTCATGCCTAAATACCCAGAACAAGTTAATTTGATTTTTGTAGCCAGTTTGAATATGCTTTTTCAAAGTGTTTCAGTAGATGTAAAACACCTATATAACGTGCGTGTTTGTGTGTGTGTGTGCGTGTGTGTGTGTGCATGTGTGATTGATTGAAGAAGTGTCACAAGTGACCTCGGGTATGTTACCATGGTTACCTTGTATTGTGAGAGTGAATCAGTGATTTCTAATTTATTGTCAGTTGCTGCCATGTGCTGTGTTTCCTTGATTTTCATGAGTGAATTACCTGAACTTCATACACAATACTCTTGTCCTGTTGTCATGGGGTTTCTCTTCCTTGTTATTAAAAAGTGGTGTGAGATGTGTGCATTCAGGGTTTTATGCCATAAAAGAACTTAACAAGCCCAGTGGTTTACCTGTCAACAAGATGACATATATGACACCTTTTGTATTAAAACTGTTTCATAAAAAGCTTACAGTTCTGTTATTGTGCTTCTACCTATACTCTACTTATAACTGACCGCCTCTGTGGTCTAGTGGATAGAGCACCTGCCCAGAGAGAGGAAGTTCAGGGATTTGACCCCTGCCCATGTCTTACCAAAAGGGGGGCACGGATGGCCCAGTCGTCTAAGGTGCCGCGATTCGCTGTGCAGAGTTGCGTCCCTTGGGCACGCCAGAAACCTATGATTGTGGGTTCGAATCCCGGTTCGCCCCTATTATGTTTCTAGGTTTGTTAGCACCATACCCGTGCTCGTGGGTTTCACCGAAGTGGTAAACGTCTGAGACTCGCATCACTTCGGGCTTTCCTCCCACATTAAGCTGACACACCGTGATATAACTGTAATACTGTTAAAAGCGGCATTAAACCCAACTCACTCACTCACTCTTACCTAAAGACGTTAAAAATGAGACTTGTTGGTTCCCTTCCTGGTGCTTGGCATTGGGGGGATAAAACAAGGACTGGCTGGCTCGGAGTTAGTATAATGTGTCTGGCTGGGGTAACCATGTTAAACTGCGGCATGGTATTTCAGTGGTCTTACAATAAAAACCAGCATCAGTCCCGACTAGTACAAGTACTAACATACATGTAGGCAGCACCTCACATCACTTTTTAAGTACAATAACCTTGAATGTGACATTAACCCCCATTTCACCTCACCTCTGCTTAACACTGGTCACCATGGCCCTGTCGTCGGCATGGCATAATCAGTATGTGAAATAATTTTTGAATAGACTTACCTATGTTGTAGGAGATAATTTCAGATTTCAGGAGCCAGTTTCACAAGCGATATTATTGTTATAGAAACCAGTCTTATTTTTCAAGTGAAGATTTTATATTTGAGAATGGGGAGGAATGTTTATACATTATAGTTTCTCTAAAAGGCATTTAGAAGTTCGAGTACTAAGTAAGGATAAAATTTATGGTTGTACACCTTCTTTATTACAATTAGGAGCGACGTTTCAGCCAATCAGGCTGTCTAAATTGTATTTTCACCATCCAGAATGAAAAGACACAACTCCATGAGCTACCATTCAGTGCTGATTTCGCACACTGGAAGCCAGGGACATTCTGCCTGTGACACGATTTACCCCAAATGGAAGTCATTCGAATGAAAGTGGATTTGATTTTCTTCAGAAGGTAGCGAATGGAACCGGACTTACTAGTTTTAAATTTCAATGCAGCGTGCACGTGTTTCCAAAACCAGAAATGATGTCATTAGACAGGAAGTGATGTCATTAAGGTGGACATTCCTTTAGGTTCCTCCTCATGTTAAGACAGGGAACTTGATGTGGTGATGGTGAGACACTGGACATGGGTGGTGGGGGTGTAATGATTTCTGGAGCACGGAGAGTTTGCTTCTGGTTAGTTTAAGTACTTGCAAATATTTTCTAGTTTCTTGGTTTGCTCCACAGAGTTGCATCCCTCAAGGGTGCTGGAAACCTATAATTCTTACGAATACTCTACCTCTATCACATTATTGGCAAATTCCTGTATTTTGGCTGCACCACCAATGTACCACAAATCAGCGCCAAACTCTTCAGCTTGCTAAGGCGGGAAAATCCTAACGTCTTTCCTGTTTGTTTGTTTATTTGTTTGTTTGTTGTTTAACACCGCACTCAGCACTATTCCAGCTATACGACGGCGGTCTGTAAATAATATGTAATCAAAAGACGCGAAGGAATCGTTTGTGATTCTCTCCTGGCGGCCATGTCCACCGAGGTGCAGCAGGTAAGACAACACCAACTGGACCAGGCTAAGAAGAATCCCCCAGCCAAGAGGCCATTCTGAGGGGGGCATCCTACTTGTCCGGCACCTTTTGTCTTAGTAGTAAAATCGCCCAGGCGTACTAATTGGTCAGACAATAGGGGGATTAGGGGGGCATCTCAAGATTTTATGCTAGGGGATTAACTGTTTGCCGGCTGCCGGACAAGTAGAATATCACCATTCTGAGGCAGACTCACGATAAGCCTTAACCAGCCTTCCGAGGGAGCTTCCGACTAATCACCTGTCAGCCGAGTAATTAGAAGCCAGCTAGTTTTACCTACTCAAGAATCACGGCCATCTATCTATCTATCTCCTACGTAGGACTTACTATCTCCTACGTAGGAGATAGTAAGTCCAACGTAGGAGATAGATAAAATTATCCTACGTAGGAAATACTAAGTCCTACGTAGGAGATAGTAAGTCCTACGTAGGAGATAGTAAGTCCTACGTAGGAGATAGTAAGTCCAACGTAGGAGATAGATAAAATTATCCTACGTAGGAAATACTAAGTCCTACGTAGGAGATAGTAAGTCCTACGTAGGAGATAGTAAGTCCTACGTAGGAGATAGTAAGTCCAACGTAGGAGATAGTAACTCCTACGTAGGAGATAGTAACTCCTACGTAGGAGATACTAAGTCCTACGTAGGAGATACTAAGTCCTACGTAGGAGATACTAAGTCCTACGTAGGAGATACATAACAAGTCACCGTCGCACCACTACGCTTCCGTAGAATAATATATTCCAATATCGTGTTATTTTATTTTTACAATGTTTATTAGCAATGTTTGCTTTACAGACAAGATTGGTCCAATTACATGCGCAGGTAAGATTAACATAATGCAAGTTTAACAAGGTTGAATCGTCACCAGTGATTGTGTTGATTCGCCGCTGATTACGTACAGCCAATTGTCAGTGACACTTCACATTGAGTGAGATTTCTCAGTTCGCTATACACGTCACTGATAAGCAGTAGATGGGCTTGTCAGGGATCAGATATCAGTTCGCTTTACCCGTTAGTTCGCTGTAGAGTGTTCGTTATGTACGTAAATTTTATATGATAATATATAGGAGATAAATCGGGGATTCGATGTATCCGTTCGTTCGCTTTATCCGTGGTCGGTATATCCGTGTTCTACTGTACATGATATGATTATGGATGACGACGACGACTCATCACACGTCACAAAACAAATACAGTGGCTAACTCTCATGAGATAGTGGAGAACATTCTCAGGAATGAACAGCCCCTGACAAAGGTTTCAATCATGCTGGGTTCCAAGGCAGCTGGTGAACAGAAAGGTGCATCATCTCTCGTGGACATTTATGTCATTTTGTAGCAGATCCAGCTTATTTTGTTAAGCGATGTGCCACCATGGTTGAGTCTTGAGCCAGTCAGAGACGAAACAACAGTCAATACCGTGATAACGTCTCCCCCGAAGAAGGCAAAATCTGTTTCATCAGCTGGCCAGGTGATGGCTTCCGTTTTCTGGCCATCCAAAGCAATCCTACTGGAGGACTTCCTCCAGTAGGCCAGACCACGAATTGCAAGTGATGGTGATGTACTCAGGAGACTGCGTTCGTGAGAATATCAAGGCTAAACGTCATGGAAACTTCACTAAAGGTGTGATGTTCCTGCAGGACAGTGCACCTGTGCAATGCATGTCTGTGGCTTTGACTTTGACGTTTCAGACGTCCCCCGTATTCTATTCATAAAAGTACATTAGTGAAAATATAGTATTAAAGTATTAAAAGTAGGTATTATTGCTCCCCTGGTTCCCGTACAGAGATTGGTGCATGTGCATTTTGGTAAGAGCGTCGGGATACAGAAACCCGGTAAATGAGACATTTTGGGAAATCAAGTTCGTTTTGAACGAATAAGTGGTGATTTCCGGATATCTGATTCGGGATACGTTGCCCTACTTCTAGCAACAGTTGACAGTTGGATATATAAAACGTTTTTCATGAATGGTATGTGTGATGTACGGATGTCAAGGAAGAAATAGGATCAATAATAACAAGAAGTTTCGATAAATTATATATCTTCACATTTGGTGCATCAGTTTCAGTCGTAAAAATTTGAACTTGTGATGCCTGAAACGAATTTAAACTTACAGTGATCAACAGCTGTCACAAACTTATAATTAGATGATTCAACTCAGATTGTCAGTGTTATTAAATTAACACAAATCTTTAAACTTAAACTAAACTTTTCAAATCAAAATCTGGTGGTGCTTGAAGCCTCTTTTCGCTTAACACCTGGTGTCATCACTATTTGATAGTTATTCATAAACAAATAATGTAGTCGAAATCGTACAATGGAGATTTCGAATGATAATGGAAAGGTTTTTGTTCATTGATTTTTATTCAAATTCTAGTTGAACCCCATAATGGTCCTTGGCCCATATTTCGATGTGCCTACCACCAACCCAAAGCTGTGTTATTCGTCATCTCTCTGCAGCGTATTGGGCAGGTAAATCCGGAAGGTTGACAATATTTGATGTCAATCAACTACTTCATAAATGCAAACAATGTATGATATGTGCGGCACCTAGACAAACAGTTAACATTGATCTTATAAACATGTTTCAGCATGTTTAACGAGTGCACTAACGTTTAAAATAATACACCCGTATTAGTTCCAGTAACAAAACAATGGCTAAATGGCATCTTTAACCAGACCATACAAATGTCACCGCGACATAAGTGTTATGAAGATAAGTATCTGCTGGTAGATGAAGCTCTGAAAAGCAGTGTCAATAGTCATCGTTTTGTCTGTATGTTATGTCAACACACATGGCACGTTTGCTATCCTCTTATGTGACAATCGATATAAGTAAGTTGGCAAAAGAACCATTACTCCGATGGCACTGCGACGCCCTTAGTGTTCAGGGGTTGCGTAAGTATAGAAGGTCGTTAGAACCATCATTTAATGTTTGCGGAAGTAACGATGCGGCGTCTGCAGCGGGCTGTTGGCATGCTAGAAACTGACAGAGGTCAGGGTTTAGTCCCCAACACGTTCAATGTTTCACAGACTATGGGACAGGTACCAACAAACCAAAAATGATGTCTTGTCATATATAATTTGTTACGACATATTTTTGAAACTGTGGGAATGGTTAGTGGATATATAGCATAGTCAGCCATATGATAAAGATCGTTGAATGCAATTCCGAATGCTGAAATTTCATAATAGAAAAT